CACTTTCTACCCCATAAATATATCCAACTATAATTGTCAATTTACAATTCAAAAATAAAAATAAATGAGGTAGACGTAATTTTAGCTTAAGAAAAGTTATCTCAGAAACATACCCTCCCATAAATGCAATGAATGTACCAAGTATAAATCCTAACTATTGATAGGAGATTCAAGGAGCTCCATAATTCATGGAACTGATATTCAGCCAGTTTTCACTGCTTTATTGTAATAGGATCATCTCTTTTTGTCTAGCATGTTTAGATTACGTGATGCCTTACAGAATTGCTAAGTATTTTCAATACCAGCTTTATTTATATTCAGGTATCACAATGGGATATTATTTAATATAGCTTCAAAACTTATTCAATGTTTAAATAAAATGGCAAAAACTCAGCCTTTGTTTTGTAAATCAGGGGAACTTCCTCTAAATAGTGAGAGTGTATGGTAATTAATTACACTGGCAACTTGGATAAAAGTTTCTATAGGGAAGAGGACTAGGTTCATTGCTCAATATAGACTTCCAGATTAGCTGTGACATTTGAAATTTCAACTTTTCATTTCTGCAGATCACTGCGCTTGAAATATTAAGTCTAGGTGGCCTATAACTAAACACTTCAAATAATTTTATAGAGTGAGAAACAGTTAGTAGAATTTCTGTTTAACTCTCTTCTGCAGAAAGAAGCCCCAAACTGTTTTACCAACTGCTTACCTGCTAGATTCCGTCTAAATAACATAATTATCTTTGATTACAGTGAAGTACCTATGTAAGAATTGACAAATTACTGCATAAGTCACTTGTTCTTACATAAGGACTATGATGGATACAAATTCATACTTTAGATCCTAAGACAGACTATTACTCAAATTAAGACATACTAATGTATTAAGAATAGGATACATAAAACAGTTATATAATTGTACTTATTTTGAGAATAAATTAATTAAAACAAAGCATTCAGATCAGTTTCAATAAATATCAGCTTAAAGAATGCTGGGCTGTTCAATTTTATCTAATGAATTTTGGTCCAGATAATGCCTGTGAAGCAATGAAAATTTAAAAAGAAAAATCCTGCAATCCTAAATAAAATTAAGAAAGCATTTTGTAAATATGTTAATAGAAAAAAATAGTGGAACAAAAAAGGAACATCATTACTATAGTGAAAATAATGTAATAAAACTTAGAAATATCCATTCTCCACTGACTTACTTGGATAAGCTGGGTCTTATTATAATCATTTAATTTAGTTTTTGGAGGAGGAGGAAGCATTTTTCTTCCTCTCCAAAAATAAACATCCTCTTTCGCCATCTGGTGGCTAAAGACAACATTTTCTGTGGAGATGAAAACAGTTGAACTCAGAGGTAACAGGCAATTATGTTTAATGCTTTCTGATTCATCTTACTGAAAAGATAAACATATTTCTTTAACCTATGTATATATAACTGAGGCAATTTTGTTCTACTGGTTCACAGTGTTTTATTCAAATAACTCTAGCTATAATATTTCGTGTAGGATCAAAAAGTTAACCAGAGCAATTCTTTTAAAAGATCATTTTCTGTACACTTCATTTTGAAGGTTAAAATTAAATACAGTAGTAACAATTTGTTTGATCTGAATGCTTTTTGGAATAAAGAATTAAGAAGATCTCTATGAAAAGAAGAAGGTCCAAATATAATTTTAAATGATAAGCATAGTAGATATTAACTTATAAAAGGTTTCGGTTTCAGTTTTTAATGTTCTAACAATAGTAACAACTATATGTTGACAATTCACCACAGGAAAAAAAAGTGGGTAATTTAATAATACTCAGTTTAAGTTCTCCCTATAATTTTTTAATAAAATTTTCAAGGTATTACTAGTATATTTTATACATATGTTTACCTCACTTTGTTAAAAAATTAAAACTGACAATATTTCATGTTTAACGTCTTTATTTTTTCCAGAATATTTTAATATTGAAACCCAAATTGTTACTTTGAGAAAGGGAAAAACAGAGAAACATGAAGAGACAAACATTTCATTTCATTTAACTTATGGTATTGTGAGCAGTCACTTCTGTAGGCAACGCTTTTTTTTTCTTTGTAGAAAAGAAGAAATAAAAAACAAACAGCACCATTAAAGAATGCATGATCCCTGAATTCTAAATAAAACACTGTCTAAAAATTTTTTAAATGCTTGTTGCACTCAGTCACATTTAGTCAGGTATCAAAGCAAGCATAACAGTATTAAATTGTACCAGTCTTACTGAATCAACTGCTCCCCCTTCTGAGGATTTTACACACCTTTTCTGAGTTTTTCCTGTGGGAATAATATATTCTTTGGTAGAGGACTGAAGGAGGGTTTTACTTTTCTGGATGTTGATATAAAATGTCTATTATGTTCAGGGCCTTCGCCCCCAATCTGTGTTTGTCATGCATGTTATGTTTGGGTCGATTTCACATTTTGCTGTTACACTATAGGAGTAATACCGCCTTTTAAAAAAAAAAGGCATTAAATGGCTAATGTCAAACAGATGTAAACATTCAGAATACTGACAAAAAAAAAGCACAAACACATTTAAAAAAAACAAAACTGGACCGAAAATATAAATCAGATTAGGTTTCCATGAAGCAGAGTAAAAGTACAGCAGTCCAAGGAAATTATGGCAACCAAGTAAAGCACTTTCTTTGAAACATTCATGAACAGTACATATACAACGAAGTTTTTCTACAGTCTAAATTATTCTGCAACTATCAAATATAGTACAAAGCGAAATAGTATGTGCTATAAAAAAGCAGCTCCTTTAAATTATAGTAAAAATGCTTTTTGTTCGTTTTACAGTGACAGAGCATGAGGACTGACGACGACAGGATTTTTATATTCAGTGACATTTTGGCTACACAGGCCCCTGACAGTCTGAGTTCCTGTTCTAGGACTCTTCACATTGTTCTCTGGGAACACAACGGGCAGTGACTCTGGGCTCCGCATGCCCAGCGGGGACATTCCCACCAGGCATCGAAGGATCGCGGTGCTGAGGCCCAGCACCACGGAGATGGCACAACCCTAAGCTCGGCTTCAGATTCTGAAACCTGGGACGTCACCATACCATGGAGAAACTGGGAAACCAGAGGCCACAGTAACCTCCTCTTTTGAAACTGTGCGAGTGTTTGTAAAGGAAACGGGGCTGCAGCAACGCGTATTCTTACTCTTGACTGCATTTAAAGCACCATATTCACCAGCTTGTTTTTTTTTTATGTTTATTTTGAACTGAGTAAGAACATCCAAGGTCCAAAGTCAACTAAATCTTCTATAGCTCATCCCAGAAACACATACCACCACATACCAAAAGTCTTTATAGCAACCAGGCTCAACCTCATAGGTTTGTTTTCAAGTTTTTTTCTTCAAACTAGACCTTAGCAGGGAAATAGTATATATAACTATGGTGTTCAGCTCATCAGAATTTCTGCTATTCTCATTTTGGGGAAGGAAAATTATTTTCATTTTGAAAATGAATTTGCATCAGAACGCTAGTAACATGCCCATTAACTACCTAAATGTCTTTATACACCTCAGGCATATGCATATATCATATAGTAGGGGGATTAGGGTATAGCAGTTTTCTTCCTTCCCCTGCTCCAAAAGTGCTACTTAGGGAAATACATCCTTTGTGATTTAAAAAAAAAAAAAAATTGCATGTTACATGTGCAAGTTCCGTTCCTGATAGGGATAAAATAGTGTCCAGTAATCAGGATAATGCACACAATAAAATTTGCACATTACACCACAATAACCATGTAGTAAATAACATACTCCATTTGCACATAGGCAGACACATGTAGAAATCAGAAAACTAAGAATCTACTCACTTAATTCAAATATACTGGCTTTTGTATATATATTAAATGGACGCCTATAAAATACCTGACCCACATTTTACTTCTGAATTTCTCTTCTTCCTTTCCATTATTTCTTTAGCCTAAAGATTAGTTTTTCAGTTATATAAACCATATGAGAACACTAGAAATTTGAATTGGGGCAAAAAAGAGCAAGGGCACAGAAAAATTTTGCTCTTTGGACTTGGATGACAGAATCCATGCACTATCAACAATTGATTCTCCAAACCTATTATACGAAAAATCAAAACATAGAGAAGGACACTTTCCTTTATTCCCAGTAAGCAACTTGCAGGCAGTATTCAACTGATCATGAGCTCAGTATTACATCAGCCTCAATTGTACCTCACATACAGAGTACAAAGTTTTTGTAGACTGGAGTTTCTTTCAACACCGTGTCAGTTACTGATGTGGTAGTTTTCAATCTGCTGGTGTAGACAGTATCTGACACTGGTATAGCGGCGACTGAATTTGGAAGAAGGAATTTGCATGCAAATGTCTATATTATAGGGGTGTACCGCTGTGAGATTAAGAGCTTGATCTTCAGAATCAAGATGATATCAGAGCCAAGCAGACCATAAAAACACCACTGATAAGGACACCACCCAGATGCAACCTGGCGAGCAGAGTTAACTAAGGATCCGCTGGAATTTATGCTGCATTCCTTGGGAAGGGCGGTTAAGTGCATTGCTAAATTTCTCAGTCATTAGTTTTAACTTTAATGATGTGAAAAACAGAAGTGACAGTACTGAAGCACCAAGTCACAGCCACAGAGGCAGGCCTTTGTTTTTCTTTCTTTTTTAAGATAACATATCTTTCACTATCAGCAATTGTTAATAAGAATGATGTCTCTATCACCTAAAGAAATTTGGCAACGTCACAATAATAAATATAGAGAATAAGAACATACCATAGTTGATTATAAAAATTCACAAGTGGTCCCCCCCCGCCAGGAATGTAACTTCTGCTCATTCCAGTCTACTTTTAAGATGTGTTTTAAGGGAATGTCAAAAAGCTTACATTGATTAGGATGATCCCGTGTAAAATATGTTATTCTTACCCTGGATACAGATGATGTTTTCCCCCCATGTTTTTTTTTTTTTTTTTTTTTTTTTTTTTAATTCTACAGCCACAATCAATGGGTTAATGGCACTCAATATTTTGTGCTCTGTAATCTGAGGTTAAATGGGCGTGGTTTTTGTTTTCTTTCATCTTCCCACATGTGCATGTGCTTTTGAACTTGCTTTTGGGAACAGGACCTCCTTAACTACAGCTGCTCTCCGCATGAAGGTGGCCAAAGCATATGGAATGTAGCTCAAATACTCAGCACTCGGACTTTACTGGCTAAACGTGGAAAATAACAGTAAGATGCAGTATCCCTTTTTCAAAAGCAGCTCCACACCCCCAAATATGAAGAATTACTGAATTCACCTGAGGGAAAAAACCAAAACATGCAATACCTAGAACAGTTTTTTAAGAAGGGGTTATTTCAGAGTCAAATATAATTACAGATTATAAATCATGAGAAAAAAAATTGTTCTGAAAAATGTCAACACGCCAGCCTCCTGTAGTCCCTTTTATCATAGATTACATGTTTAAAAAGTGGTGGCCAATCTTTGTAAAGTCAGAAGCCAGAATGTACTAGTGGCATCAATAATAAAGGGCTAAAATGATTTTCCTCCATATTTTAATAACTAATAATTGTATTACAGTGAATAGGATGGAGTAATATTTACATCATCAACCCATTTATGTGTGCATATACAGCATTTTATTGGTTTGCTTTTAACTTTAGGGCATTTTTTTCATACTTGCTCTTAAAAGCCACACATGAAGCTCCAAAATGCTCTGGGCCTATGGCCTTTTGTTGGCCAATTCATCTTATATCATCAGGTGTCAAAGACCTATAACCAGATTACTGGGTATGAGGTACATGCTGCAATTTCAGGTGTAGGACACATTTCACTACAATATATGTCCAAAATCCAAGGCAGAACTAGATACTCTGGTACAGTCTCAAAGAAACAGAGCAAAGAGAATGAATAATAATGACAGTGGATTTCATTAATGGCATACTTCCTGTAATGTATCTTTTGTGATATGAGTAAACACAAGGAATCACATATTTAAATCAGATTCCCCTTTCCAAATATGATCTAATCATCATAGTAAAAGTAGGTCCAGAAAAGTCAACTGTGAAAACCCTTGCTGCAGTGGCTAATCCACAGAAAAATGCATAACCACCTGAAATTACTTTGACCATTCTCTTTCCACATCTGCATTTCTGGTTATTAATTAAAAATGTCATTTGCCTATCTACACCCAGGTTAAAAAAAAATGCACCAGCAACTTGTCTACACATGAACAGAAACTTTCCAAAGCTTGGAACGGAGACTAAATATGTCAAAGCTATGCTGCTGAGCCATTCGGTTGGGGTGCATCTTCCCCTTTACGAGAAATGGAAGAAAATAATAATCCCACAGAGAAAGATAATTTGCTCCAAAGCCAAATAAATTAGCATGATATAAATCACCGTGTTACTCAATTTGTTGTTGCCGATGCTGTGTGGCTTTTCTGTGTCGAAAAGGGATACTGCATCTTTCAATCAGGTCTTATCGTACAACCAGGCAAGCTACACAGAGTTTGGAAGGACCTATGCAGTCATCATGGCAGAAGGCCCCACAGCCTTTGCACACAATCATGGCTTTCAGCCGGCAAGAGCATTTGAGTTCCAATTCATCTGCATTGCTGCTGTCGGCAAAGTTCTGAACAGGCATCTGAGCGTTCTGACTAGGCAGACCCGTGGCAGGACTGGAGCCATTTCCCAAAATCCCAATGGACTTTTCAATTGCAGATGCTGCCCTTTTGAAGCTCGTGCTACCAAAGTGTATTGTTGGATAATTTCCACAGAGCTGTGGTTGTTGCTGCACCTGCATTTTCTGAGCAGCTAATTGGGTAAAAGGCTTTTGTGGCTCAGAGAGCAAATAGGAAGAGAAATCTGCATTTTTTAGCGCAAATGCTTTTAACTGTTCTTTCATTTCATTCTGGTCATAGGAAACTTGTTTCATGCCCAGTTCACAGCTGCTGCTTAAACCTTCCTCAAAAGAAAGAGGTTCTGATTTTATATTGCTACATATGCTCGTGGACTGCGGCCAACTAAGTCTCTTAGTGGTTTCCATGGTAACTGGCGGTTGTTTTTGATCGGATGGGACTTCTGCAGCAGGGAGAGGTGGAGGTAGTGGAGGTGGTGGGGGAGGAGGGGGAGGCAAAGCCAAAGGTGGTGGGGGAGGAGGAGGGGGAAAAAAAAAAAAAGATTTTCTATTTGGTGACTAAGTTACTGGCATTGCTGTTTGATATTAACAACTGCTTATCATTCATGGAGCTCGATATGCCAGAGCCCTCTGTAGTGGCCGGAAGAGCAGTGCTTTCAATACATTTTGGTATAATGGCTATGCATGGAGTGTCAGTTCCCTGGATAGTTTTTAACATGCTTATATCACAAGCAGAAGTTGTAGTGTTTGCACTGTCAACAGACATTAGAACAGAGGATTTATCAACAGAACTCACAAAGGGATGTTCTTTAATTGCTCCTGATATAGCAGTGCTGCAAACAGACACAGGGACAGAATTTTTATTAAAAAGCATGGGCACACTGCTATTTTCAGAAGAGGTAGATGAAACAATTTTCTCAGATAAATGTGACACTGCTATGTTTTCATCAGAACTATGCACAGATAAGTCAGTGGCAGTTTCTGGAAGTTTAGTGGGGTTAAGAGACTGCTGTAATACAGTGGTGGTCTCCCGGAAATATGCCAGAGCCCTCTGTAGTGGCCGGAAGAGCAGTGCTTTCAATACATTTTGGTATAATGGCTATGCACGGAGTGTCAGTTCCCTGGATAGTTTTTAACATGCTTATATCACAAGCAGAAGTTGTAGTGTTTGCACTGTCAACAGACATTAGAACAGAGGATTTATCAACAGAACTCACAAAGGGATGTTCTTTAATTGCTCCTGATATAGCAGTGCTGCAAACAGACACAGGGACAGAATTTTTATTAAAAAGCATGGGCACACTGCTATTTTCAGAAGAGGTAGATGAAACAATTTTCTCAGATAAATGTGACACTGCTATGTTTTCATCAGAACTATGCACAGATAAGTCAGTGGCAGTTTCTGGAAGTTTAGTGGGGTTAAGAGACTGCTGTAATACAGTGGTGGTCTCCCGGAGGTGCACAGACTTGTTGCTAGGAGATCTGCAGTTTGGATTGACTATAATGACACCAGTTGAACCTTCCATTTTTGTTTCAGGGGTAGAGGAGACTTCTAAGTTTGGAAGCCCTTCCTTTGAGCTGAGTGGAGGCAACCGGGTCTCCTTTGAGGTCTGGAAGAGGTGGGCTCGGGCTTGATGCTTTGCGAAGAGCTTAGCCTTTGTCTGCTCTTTAATGTGTGCTAGAGTTCTCACCTTTCCACCCTCTCCTGGGCTCCCCATGGCTCCAGAGACGATGCTTGCTGCAGCGGCTACAGCAGCAGCTGCAGCAGCCTCCCGCTGGGCCCGGGCTTGTTGGGCACGGGCCTTGATATCTGCGAGGGTCCTGGCTCCTGTATTCCTCCCCCCACTGACGGATGTGCTAGTGGATGCTCGAGACTCTGGTTTGGACACTGGTTGGCTCTTGATAATGAAAGGTGGCCCAATTTTGGAAAGCTGGATCTAAAAGAAGGAGAGAATGGAAAGGTAAAGCACTTCATACACTCCACTGACGGATGTGCTAGTGGATGCTCGAGACTCTGGTTTGGACACTGGTTGGCTCTTGATAATGAAAGGTGGTCCAATTTTGGAAAGCTGGATCTAAAAGAAGGAGAGAATGGAAAGGTAAAGCACTTCATACACAATCGCAGAGGAGGCATGTGGAACACAGTAATGCAAGGAAAAGGGCTAGCTGTATTCTCTTGTAATGTGGGATAAACTGCACCTAAACCCCTGAATGGGCCTGTAGAGTAAAAAGCAACAACGATAAATGAAGCATATATGTGAAACATAAGTTTTTAACCCCTGTTTTTAATCTACAAAAACATCAATTGGTGACTTCATTTCGCATGAACATGAAGCATCTTAATGTTTCATATAAATGGAAACAAAATTCATGCTTCTTAAAATGAGGCTAGCTACAAAGATTTAGTTATATTTAGTTTTTAAATTATCTGCCTTGCTGTCATGAAAAACTGGCACCTTAACTTTATGTGAGTTTATCTGTCTTAACTTGACCCAAAGAAAAAGCCCTGGCCAAAAAGCTGGAAGACTAGAATTCTCATCCGAACTTTACACAAAGGAACTTTGTGATCCTAGGCAAATCAGTATGTATCTCAGTTTCTCCAGTAATCTCTCTGAGCCAAGGACTCTATAGTTTTTATGTGCTCTCATGCCACCTAGCATGCTGCCTTATACATATATAATCAGAACACAAGAAAAGTTTGTAAACTCAGTTGTAAAATGAGACTAGTTATTTCTGGTCTATTTCCTTCACAGAGCTATTACAAAGATGGATGAGACTATATTTATGGGAGTACTGTGTTTTCCAAAGGGATGAATTATCATTACGTTTTCATAAGAGCAAGGGCAACTCTGCTTTTCTGCCTCTCAAAGAATGTATGGTTGAGCAGTTTCTTTTGATATTGGTAATTCATGATCTTTTGAATTTCATACATGTCCCAATCTAGACTATTCACCTACTCAAGCTTTAATTAGAGACTCATGAAATCATCACCAAATTTATGAGGCACAAAACCTAATCACCAGCATACGAAAGTAATGCTGTGATGTTCTGGTCGCTAAGAGCATTCTTAGAGTCAGAGATTTATACAGGAGGAAGGGCGCTAGTTAAAAGTTCCTTCCTTTACAGTTGAAAAAATTAGGTCTGTGGAGGTGAGATAGTCTGCCCTACGGTCATATAACTAGCAAGTGGACTCCCAATTTAATGCTGTTAACAAGTACTCTGCTTCCACTTTTCCTTCTCTACAAGAAGCTTTTCCTAAAAAGCTTCTCTCTCTCTTCCTAACATATGTATATTTACATTATAATTGACACATACTACAGGATCATATCAGTTTAGAACTATTCTTCGGAACTTTGAATGATGGAATTATCATCCTGAACTATCTTATTTCTCATTATCAAACTGCTTGTAAAGCCTCTCTTCTAATACAAGGGCCAAAAAAGATGAATTTGGCAAGAAGATCCAATTTTCCCTTTTAAATGTTTCCCTTATTCTAAAAAACGGAACACGTTTAGAAAATTAAAACTAAATATCCTTAATAGCTCGAGAACAAACAAATATCAAATATGCTTATAGTATCTATCTACCTATCTATCTTTAAATAAAGTGCATATCAGTCTGAAAATAAGCTTTTGAAAAAAAATCAGACTGGTATGTTTAAAAATATTTCCTCGGAAATAGTGTAATATATAATAGTAGTATAAAATATATTTATATTATTCTTTCCATTGCATCAAAAATTAAAATGCACAGCGGGTTTTTCATTGGATCTTAATGTTCATCTTTTATATCTCTAGAATCTTATTTAATAGGGACTACTTTATTAAACAGAATAACTATAACCACACTCTTAAAAGTCAGCTTTATGAAGAGATAATGAGTCACATACAAGTAGAGAGAGCAGAGCAAAATAAAGAGAAATTCTTAAAAGCTCGAAATGTTTATAATTCTAGAGCAGTCCTATGATGGAATCATCTATGTTATTGCATGACAATATAAATGCACTTAGATAAAGGCATTAAATAAGTACAAATTACAGAAAGCAGAAAAATTTTTTTAATTAAACAGGTCTTTTTTTATATATATTAACCTTAATTTTCAGTTTAGTAGGGAACTCAATTTATATAAAAGGTTTGTTTTCTGAAAGTTAAAATTCACCTGGGATCAAAAGAAAGTATATAACCAGAAATGTCTGTGTACAAGCCTGTATTATTTTGTTAAGTTAAAGACCTCTTTACTATCTTGGAAATAAAAAACAAATAGAATTTGTATCTATATATCTACAGCATTCTCCCTCAGGGTTCATAAGGCAATTTTATTGATTTATTCAAGAAATATTTCATGAGACTCCACAATAAGCCAGGTCCTCCCTGCTAGGCAACGGTGGTGTCATATATTTATTGGAAAGTTAATGAAGGGATAATACACACCTTCATCTCCTTAGTGTTTGCCACTGACTTTAGACTACTCCTTTCCCTAGTCCTATTGAACTTTTCTAGGACACTGAATTATCTTTCACATCTTCTCACGTATATATAAGTCTCTGTCCTACACCTTGGAATCCCCAAAAGCCCCGGTGACTCAGTGGCCTATAGGACCCCCCAGACCCTGTTCTCTCTCCATGATTCTTTTCCTTAAATGCTGAGGTCTAAATACATGCTCGTATCTGAACTTCTCATATGAGTTCAATGCATAGTCTTAAAAAGGATCATTTACTATTAGACTCGGATGATAGGAAGATTCAATTATAAATTGCCACATAAAACCTGGAAAGAGAAAAACCTAATTTACTCTTAAAAAATTAAGTTTCTCAATAGGAAAGGCTACCTATGAAACTGCCTTTTTTAAAAGTACCATACCTTGAGAGGGGGGACTCTGGGTTCCTCTCTTGGAGGCTGCTCTTTCTCAGGTGAGCTGCTAGATGATATGTTCCGGATTGACTGATCATCTTCTATCCTTGCTCTCTTTTCCTTACAGATTCCAAAACTGTGCTGCTCTGCAGTTTTCCTCTTTGATATCTCTGAATCTCTGTTTTCATTTCTTATCCCATCAGGTGACCTGGAGGGCTCTGAAAACTTGGAAGTATGTGAGGTCTCCAACCAATTCTGTGTGATCCCTTGCTTGTGTGTTTTATTTCTAGAGCCTTCTGAAAATGAAGCCTTATCTACTGATGAGACATACTGTTTGTCCTGTAATTTAGCTGATGGAAGCTCATTTCCTCTACTCTCTGTCTCTTCAGAGAAGACAGATAATTCTAATGGTGAGGATATTCCTTTCTTTTCTGTCCTTTGCAGGACGCTGTGATTTTTAATTTTTATCATTTCAGTAGAAGGGAGTTCTGGAATAGAAGCAGGATAGGGCTTCTCCATTTCAACATGTGATTTACAAGGCTGCTGACTCAGGGTCTTACTATGCAATTCTTCCGATGGAAAGGCTTCGGGAGCAATGGAAGAAGAACTCGTGTTGATTGGTTCAGGAGCACTGGATAGAATCTTCTGCTGGGAGGTAAGGTTCTCTCCCAGGGGTTTTGCAGGGGCAGAAGGCTCATCCTTCTGTGGAGAGAGTGGTTCTTCAGATATGGAAGGTGACTTTCTTTGTTGGTGCATTCTTTCATTTATGGAAGAATTAGAAATTGGAGATGTTTGTGAAGGAAGTGGCAAATTGGACACAAAAGTGGTCTCAGATGTGAGAAGTATGGAAGACACTGAAGAAGTTTCTGATGTCAAAGGTAAATCCGACATCGGTGATGTTTCTGATGTCAAAGGTAAGTTGGATACTGGCGATGCTTCAGATGTTAATGGTAAGTTGGACATAAGAGATGCTTCAGATATTTCAGGTGAAGTGGATATTGGAGATATGTCTGACATCAGAGACGTATGAAGGTTTTCATCAGTTGGGTTTCTCTGATTATATTTGTCTGTATTTTCAGTGCTGGACACCTCAGAACAAAACGTTGTCTCAAGCGAGGCTGGAGCACATGATTCTTCTGACGTGGACTGGGTTTCCCCTCCTGGGGATGGCAGGCTGGTACAGGCTCCTTCTGGGCTCTCTGAAGAGAAAGAAGTTTCAGAGATGCAAGCATTTTCAGAAAGCTGTTCATCAGGATCGCTCTGTAGCTCCATATCTACAGAAATTCCTTCATTTGGAAACTGGGCTTCTAGAGAAGATGACCCTGTTTTTATTTTTGCAGTATTGTTATCTATTGCAGTTTCTGGCTCCTTATGTTCTGTGTCACTGACATGAGTCACAGACGGAGTGGAAGGAAGAAGAGAGTCACAGACTTCTAACTGATCAATAACAACTGACATTTCTTCCTGGGGAGGTTCTGATTTCTCTTCTATCTTAACTTCGATATGCGGCAAAGTTTCTAAAACATCATTCATCATAACACAGGATTCCAAGTTATCTTCAGGAGGTGCTATTTGGGGTTCTTCATGAGAGTTGGCTGGGCTTTCAGACTCCTCAGAAAATTCGGGTATTGTCTTATGATTTTCATCCTGGCATTCACAAATACTAGTTTCTACCTCTTCTGCAATTTCTTCCTGAATCACAGATTCTTCAGGGATCAAGATATCCTCTGACTCTGATTCTGCCATTACATCCTTAGCTGGGACCTCTACCATAGGACAAAGAGTAGCACAAAAATCAGGCTCTGGAGAAGCTGGACTTTTCATGCTTTTTGGCTGTTGTTCTTCCAGGACAGTCTGTGCAGAAGAACCAGGTAGGCCAGAGGTTCCACATGAAGAACTACTTTCAGCTCCATCATTGTTTGGTCCAGAAGTGAGTTTCACAGATTCCTCTCTTGACATGCCCAACCTGAACAAAATTAGAGATAAGAAATTACTGCTCAATCACAAAACATGAGAGGTACAACTTGGATTTCTTACAAATATAGTACTCAGAAGTAAATGCACCAAATTAATCTTATAGTTGCTAACACTTAATTTATGTAAACTAGTTGATTATGATGTAGTTTCTCTGCTGCTTTTATCATCACAACTAAAACTCTACTTCTGGTTAAGAAAGATATAGATTTTTATTTTGTGAGAAAGGGGATATGAACTTTATCAAGTGTTAGCAAAAGAATAAGAAAATTACATACAACAAAAAACTGGAAAATATGGGCAGAAAAGCAAAATAATACATAAGATCTAAATTTTTTTAAAAAATCAGAAAGTAGAAAGATGCCTTATAGTAAAAAATTATGTAATACTCAGAGAATGCAACAGAACCAAATAATTAAGATCAATGGAAGATGAATAAAATTCATTAAATTTTGAAATTGAAATGACTTTCAAGGATTGGTTCTCTTAAACTACCCTAAGACGTGTTACTCAATCACTTATTTTAGCATCTCAGAGTCTAACCTAAGACAATATGGAAATTTCATTAAAGAATAATAAAACATATTTGAGGTCAAAGTTATTCTACCAGCTAACATTTGTGTGGAGCAAGACTTTTAAATTCTTTCATCTCTTACTGTAAAGATATTCCATACAAATAGTAAAGAAAACAAAGAAATAATCCAGCCTAACATTCAGGTCTTAAGGCAAAGCTAATCAGGATTATAATAGAGGATACTGTAAATCACTGCTTTCTGTTATATTAAGTTACAAGGTCAGCATCAGATAGTAAAGAAATATGCCACTCCAGATGAAGCTAAATGAAGGTACAGGCAATAACAAAGCAGGAGAGAGAACATTTCCAGAGAAAGAGACACATTTGAGTGAAGAAATGCAGCTAATGATGCAAGAAAATACTTCACGGAAATCCATTTTCCCTTTCACTTAAATAAAATTCTCAAAATGAAAGGGAAATAAAATCGAATACACTTTTTAGACATTTGATCGTTTCTTTCTTAAATTCAGAAGGCTCTGAAAAGAAGTGGGAAGATACAGCCTTTACAATTAGTTTCTTTTCTTTCAACTTACCCTAAGATGGGATCAAATCAAGCTCCAGTTTATAACTGTACTATACAGAGGGGAACAGAACATTACAGATAAATTTAAAGCGGAAGAGATCAGCTAGAGAAAAGGCCCCTTGGGACTGGGTCAAGCAGAGGTACCACTAATACTAGGTTAGGTAAATACGCAGAAATCTATCTGCTGACAGTCAAATTTCTGCTAGTTGGTTAATAACGATATTATTAAATAAAGAAATGGATAACTACACATGCACACACACACACACACACAGGTACTTCAAAAAGTTCATGGAAAGATTCGTATTAACTTTTAATTGTATTTTTTCACAAACCTTTTGAAGTAACCTTGTATATGTATGTGTGTATATGTATGCATATGTGTGTGTATATACATATATATATATATATATATATATAT